TATAGAGGGGTTTTTTTGGTGTCTCCTCCCCCACCACCCACCCCCAATTTAGAAAAAAAATATGGCTTTGACAGCTGTGCTGCAGGGCTGTGGTTAAATGGCATTTAAACTTTGCTCTGCAAATGGCCTGGGTAATTTTTCCACTGGAAAATCGGAAGTGTCAATGGTTGGAATTCCTTAAGAAGCTCAAGTGCATGGTCAGTTGCCCCTTCTTAAAAAGACATTTCCAAGTTTGGAATAGATGAAATGGATGGCTGGTAAAATATCAGACTCTGATTCTTCACGCTGGTTCCTCTATGAAAAGTTAGAGATAGGAGCTGAGCTTCGTGTGAACTTCTGGTATGTGCTATTTTCAGCATTCGTGTAGAAGTAGGCGTGTGACTTGCATGCTGGTGTCTCTCTGTGCTGTGTTTGGAGATACCATCAAGAAATCACGGGTGTGGGCAGCTGCCTGCAGGTGTGAGATGCTGCATCTTCTTTCTTTCTGATGTAATGCACTTCTCTCTTGAATTCAGGCTCACGTAACGCCAGGGACCGGAGACGCGTGTGTAACACTTCTGTGGTGCTAGGACCAACCTTCCGAAGGAAGACTCTCGAATACTGCTTTTCATCTTCAACCTGCTCATCCTGGGACTGACCTGTCTTTGGAGAAAAGTTTAACAGAGGAAAAAGGTTTTCACGTTGGAGCCCATAGTGAATTTATTTAAAGAACCCGCTGCTTGGAGACCCTTCTGCAGAGATTGAATCCTGCTCTTCACCAGTGTTTGCACTTCAGACTGTAAACAATGAGCGAGTTCTGGTTGTGTTTCAACTGCTGTATTGCAGAACAGCCTCAGCCTGTAAGTATGAACATTGGCTCTGTTTTGTTTGTGCATAATTAACTGCATTGTTCCCTTTTTCTGGTCATGTTTTAGCTCTTCAAATGAGTGCAGCTGGACTAAGCTCCGTAAGAATTAAGGAATTACCTACCATTTTGGCTTAGCTGGGACAGAAAAATGTCTGTTCTAGACTGATGTCATGCAGACATTTTCTTATCCTTAATCTTAAATCTATCCAATGTCTTTGAAAAGAGCTTTTATATTTTTGAGTTGTAGAGAGGGAAAAAGGGGAGGGTGAGGAGGGACTGAAACTATCATTCTAAAATCTACCAAACAGCAGGTAGAAATCTGGAATTCTAATGACTTTTGGTGTTGTTTAAGGCAGGTCTTCAGGTATGGCTGGGTAATGCTGACAAAAGGTAATATTTTTGCTGAGAAACTTAGGTGTAATGACACCCACCTTTCTTGGCATTCACTTAAATGAGGTTAGGATTTCAGCCCCAGTTATTCTGGTGATCTGGTGTGAAATTTTGAGAGGGTGAAGGGACACACAAATACCACAAATACTCCTTTTTTTTCTAGGATTTGGAGTGACTGTAGTGTGACTGAGCACCTACTGAACAACTCAATAAAAGAACAGCTTAAAGCACTAAATGAAAGAAGAACACAAAAATACAAGAATGTTCTTGTGGTTCATACACCTGCAAAAGTAGCTTAGAGGATGTTTTTGAGCCCAGTCATGTGGAGAAAAAATGTTCAGGGGGAGTTAACTAGGAGCTTGCTGAACACCTGAGAAAAATTGTTGTATTGATTGCAAGCTAAATCAAGCTAAATGAATGATCAAGCTAAATGAATGTATGTCAGGGCCACGCATCTCCCAAAAGTGTGTGGAAAAGAGCTCAGTGCCTTCTAAAGGATGCAAGGGAATCTCAAAGTGACATTAATATGTTCAGGTGATAATATTTCTGTGTAGAAAAGGCGTAGGATTGCAAAACCAAATGTCTGATGATTTCGGGAAGAAGATGGAAGTTGTAATTGCTCAAAGCCTGATAGCAAGACTAATTTTTAACTGCTAATACAAATGCTAGAAATGTGACCATTAACGTTTATAATAAATAAATGCAACTTTATCTCACCTCTGTTATGCACAAGGGGAACGATTTATTTCAGCAACATGAGAAGCTGGGGACCTCTCCTCTGCAGGCCTTCAGAATGTTATTTAAAAAGTTTTGGGATCATATTTTTAAACTAAAAATGAGATGTGGGTTTTTTTATATATCTTAAAGGAGTAAACCGAAGTGTCTTCTGTGTAATGCCACCCAAGATCTGTCTTGCTCGTAATTATGGTATGGTTAAGCTGTTATCCAAGAAGTACGTGGTATGGTAATGCAGCATTTACTGATCCATAGGTCGTGACTCCTGGAAAGAGTCATGGTGGAGAATGCACTCCAACAGCAGGGAAAGGGATAAAGGATCCTTTTTCATATATTTCTGTTGCTCAGGTGGTATGGATTTCCTTAGAAAATTAAAACTGTCCCACTTTGTTAAGCACTGGCCTAGTTTCTGAAATCTGCCTTTCAAATGCTATAGGAGACTGCTCATTTTTGAAGTGCAGAGCTCTTCAGGAGGCATCTCAAAAAGTCACTGTGGACGTAGGTGTTTCGCTGTCCTCTCTCAGCAGCATTTTGCAGCTTGTTTTACTCGGCGTGATTTTGTGTGGCTCTTTGTCTGTGCACTGTTGCATCAAATGGAGTATTTAATCAGATACGTATACATCTGAATGAGCCCAGGAGCTCTATGACATATGTAGCAATGCATGTACCGTTAGTGTAAGTGAAGGAGTAAATCAGTGTAGTTGTAAGGACACAGTTTTCCTTGTTCTTTAGGTGTTGTGGGATCATGTGTTCAGCAGACAAAACATGCTAATTTTTGATGCAGAGGTACAGATACTTACTGCCCTATTGAATCAAAAGGTAAAGAGAAACTTGCACCCTTGCAAAAAAGCTTCTTCCCCTAGTGTCCCTTGAATTTGCCAGTTGGATTTGTTGCTGAGGAGAAACTGTCTCCTGTGTCTCCCACACGCCTTCTTTGACCCAGCCTAGTGCATCTTGGCTTTTTCCATGGCCCGACTGGCAGCGTGGCAGCTCTCACTTGGAAGCCCAGCCCCTGGATGAAACTTGCTGCCTTTGTCAGAAACTAATTTGACCTTGTAGGAACACTAGCAACTAGTCTTTCGAAATAAAGACCTTAAAAGCAGAAGGCTAGGCTACTTATTCTGTTCCATGCTGAAAATGTTTCTTTGGGGCTTAAACTTGGCTTTTTCTGAAGTATTGATCTTTTTTCCTCATAACCTTTTTAGATGCTGATATCTGGGTCACAATGAATGTCATGGATCAACTTTAATATGGGAGGATTAGGGATGGGGTTATTTTTTGCTTTCTGTTTTTCCTGTTAGCTGGAGGAAAGAGACAAACCTTGAAGGAGCTGTTGTGTGAATCTCTGGTTATTTATAGCTTCCATTAAGTGATGGGTTTTCAATCTCTCTCTCAGTCCCAGAGGCAGGAACAGTCTGTTGCTTCCTTCTGGCAAAATCCAGTGGTATTGTGTTAGCAGTTCTTCAGTATGCATCTTTATCTTATACAATTATAGTGCACTTAAAATTGAGAAAAATATATGCACAGAGTCCTTTCAATGAATTTGGTAGAAAACTATTATTCAGACTGTATACTAGACCTTTTTTAGCCATTTCTGATACTCTGCAGGCCTTCCAGGATTGCATATTTATTCTCTCCAGTGGGTTTTCATGGTTTTGACCCCCAGATGCCCCTGCAGAAGACAAAAATGTACATTCAAAGCTTTTTAAGTAATGTATATTTACTGCCATGAAGTTTATCTGATCTCACTAGAACTATGTCTCTGATAGCATACCCCAGAGCAGTAAGTAGCCATGTTGTGGTTAGGTATTAGTGCACTTTAGACGGTTTCTTAATTAAAAGGACAGACTTTAAGGTATCATGTTCCTTACTGAGATGTGTTACTTATATCCATAGTTTCTCTTTACCTTTTATTGAGGCTAACTGGGTGGTGCACCGTGCTGCTGTGAAATAAAGCACAGGCTTCTTGGAAAACAGTTTCACTTATTGTTTCCAAGGCTGTAAAACTCATAATAAGATCATGGAAGGGGCATGTCTGAACACAGAGCTTTCATCTTCTATAAAACAGGATGATAACCGAAAAATCTGAGTATGCAAGGAAGCAGAGCTGAAGAGCTATAAAGCTGAAGGAAGCATGTTCCCAGTGGCTGGGTTAGGTCTCACTGCTTAGTGGCCTGGGAAATTTTATCACATTCGGACACTGGAAGGATGCAAGCATCAGGCAAGCAAAGATATTATGATATCAACTTCTATATTTTACCAAAACAAAGGCTTAAGACAACAGGTTGGTTTTGTCTTTGTTTTCATGACGCTTTGAGGGTAATATTAATCTCTTAAGAAACACCCATTGGAAAGTTTTTCTTAGTGCTTTAAATAGCCTGGTCTTAATCTCCTATCTGAACCAAACATTTTTGTTTGTTCACTTTGTTTTGAGAAGAGTAGCACTTTCCAGGATTGCACCACATTTCTTACAGAAATTAGTGGGAAACTCAGCTCCTGTGAGCTGATTTTGCACTTCCAAGTGACTAGATGAACATTTGCTGCTGTCCTCCAGCGTGCTTCCTGTGTGCTACAGCCTTCATCTGCTGGTGGGCTTCAGTAAATTCTGTCAAACTCCCACTACCAGATGCTTTGCTTCATAGCTGCAGTTTGTGAGCTGTTTCTTCTGCAGCTCTGTGCAGAAGAACATGCCTCTGGTTGCTTACTGAGGCAGAGCTTGGAGGAGTCTGTTATTTTACTTCTTTTTTTTGTGTTTTTGTCCTGTACATTTTAACTTACAAAGTTAATTCTGGGTCTGGGAAGTCTTTGGTCACAATCTGGTGCACTCCCACCTGTGTTTGGGCCACTGCCCAGTGCAGTTGAACTCTGTTTTCCTTTGATCTTGTAGTAAAATGACTGGTCTGCGATAAAAGGGTGACCTAGAGTCTCCTTCTCCTTGCTCTGAGCTTCCTTCTCCAGTTACTTAAATTCTTCTTTGTCCCTTGTGTCCTTTTCGAAGCTTTTTGTTTTGCATTTTGTCAAAGGCAAAATTTTATGATTTTGCTGTGCCACAGATTAGAATGTGAAGTTTTGTCCTTTTCCACATATAAAGTAGGTATGAAAGATCTGTATTTAAAGTGGGGAAGCCCATACTTATGAAAAAAACCTCCAACTGTTAGAAGAGCAATTTATTTACGCTTCAAGCCAGTCTCGTGTCTCTATTTATGGGCAAGTGACTATGTTACAGAGGCCAGAAATTAAAGTTGGGCAACCACAAGAGTTGAGCTTCTATTCAGATTATTTCAAACTAGGCTGTAAAACATTTATCCAAAACTTTTGTTGCCCAGTTTAAATTGGGTCAGGCTGTTAATGCTGCACGTTCCTGCCACGCCTTTTAGGCTTATTAGGTGAAATGGAGTGAGAAGAGGAAAAATGATCTTTGAGGAAGACTGCACTTAGTTTGGTCAGAAGACCAGGGTCCAGTAGAGCAACCCCACAGTGCGCAATATTAATGAAGAGGTGGGATAACCTTGATGGGCCTCTTTATTAGTAGGCCTGAATCCTTTAATAAGAGGACACTGCTGACAAGTACCGGCCTTCTTCTCTGGTGGTAATGGAAAAAGTTCACGTTTGAGTGTATTTGCTGGCAGAGCAAGGCTACAGAAGACGTAAATCATCCTCAGACTAGTCACTTAAGGAAACTAACCACTGATGTGCTCACCTCTATTTCTTTTCCTAGAGGAGGAGATACCTATGGTGAAGGATTACATCTGCCATTGTGGGCCATTAGATACAATTTAGGTACCAAAGCAATTAAGGAAATAATAAATGAAGAAAAAAAATCACCTTCAGTCAACATGCATGGAAAACGAGATATTTGCTGTTGAA